AGGTCACTACCCCTTTAGGAGCCCTCCAGGAACCTTCTCCTTAGCCCGCCTCCTCGGCAACATGTTTTTCTTTAATGTCTATGTTGTTAATGTTTGTTTTAATCTGTATGGTTCTAATTCTTAGTTGATTTAATACTTTTTAAAAATTTTTTTATTTTGTTGATTTAATACTTTTTTAGGGGGGGAGGGTATAGGGGTTTGATTGTACCCTGTATTTTTAACATTTATTCGCTGCCCCGATTGCGCTCAGAGGAGAGGGGTATAAATAAATTTTATTATTATTATTACTATTATTATTCGGGAAGTGCTACCATTTCCTCTCAAATATTTTCTCCTACTCTGCATGTTCCCATCTTCCTCCTCTCTCAACTTTCATTGGAAAAATGGTGAGATAAATATTTCTTTTACCTGAACTATTCACTAGCTAGATTAGCATATAGCCTTTATGGATATCTAGATTAAAGCTATTAGGAAGCGTTTGTTACTTGTGTTGTTTTTGAGTCAGTCTCAGTTCTTAGAGAAGCATAGTTAGACAAAAGCACATTTCTGCTACTCTGATTGAAAGCTAGAAACTAACAGGCTTGGCGTTGGTGTTTTTGATATTTCAATATTTTTGTTTCCTTACCAGAGGCTGAAGCCTTAGGAAACTTAAATTACCCTACAAACGGGCATCACCGTATGTATGGTACTTTAGCAATTTCGTAGAAAGGAGATTTATATCATATTGCAAGCCTGAGTGTTTACATCTATCAGCAAAACCATGAGGATTTTGGGTGTCGCAGAGGAGAGGAGGGAATACCAATCTCTGCAACAACTTGAAAATGACATACAGAGTCTTAAGAGGGACTTAGGCTTGCATACGTCACTAACAGGATGCCAGGCATTGTGTGAAGAAGGTGCAAAGTGACAATTGATCCAGGTGAATCGGTGCCAGGAAAGGTCGGAGGCATCAAGTTAGGGGGATACCTGCCTAATATAATTTCCTGATATCACCAGGAAATAATTTAGTTTCCTGAAATAATGTAATTTCCTGGTATCACTAGGAAAGCCTGATGATAGGAAGGCAAAAATATGCTTCAGGAATTAATAATAATAATAATAATAATAATAATAATAATAATAATATCCAATAATAATTATATCCAATAATAATATCCAATAATATTATATCCAAAGGAATCAAAGCGGGTTACAATGTAATAATAATAATAATAATAATAATAATAATAATAATAATAATAATAATAATAATAATTTATATACCACCCTTTGGTAACAACATTAAAACATCATACCAAGTAAAAATGGTGAGATAAATATTTATTTTACCTGAACTATTCACTAGCTAGATTAGGATATAGCCTTTATGGATATCTAGATTAGAATCTAGAATACAATAAGAAAACAAATAAAAGTTACACTGGCGAATGGTTTCATATGTGGTGGCAACGTCATGAGGTTAAAAAACTATGGAAAGCAATACGTACAGAAATTGAAAAAATATTTAATATAAAATTTCAAATGCTACCAGAAATCTATCTTTTAAATATGACTAATACAACCTCAGATATTAAAGCCAAAAAACATTGGGAAACATTGTTATATATGTTTACATCAGCCAGAATTCTTACTGCACAAAAATGGAAAACTAAGGAGATTCCTACAATAGAAGACTGGTTATTAAAATCACTAGACAACATAGAATTAGATAGACTAACAAAGCTGATAAAAAGAAAGCCCAAAGAAATAATAAATACAGACTGGGAAAAACTAAAAAAAAATATTGTGAAAAGTGATGGTCATAAGATCAATAATTAATGTGAACAAAGCCCCAAAACAGTTCAAGAATCACTGTAAGAGCTGAAAGACTAAAGTCATAAAAATGAATAACAAGAACAGGGAACCATGCAACATCTTTTATTTACCCAAAAAACCAGATAACTGGACAGGAAGTTATAGAATTAATGAATTTCATTTATCAAAAGAACTTGGATAATATAACTGAAATGAAGAAGAAATGTTGATTTGATAGGTATTTTTGGAAATGTAGAAATTTAATATAAAAAAAAGTTACATCAGACGCAATCCCCTTCCCAACCTCCAAATCCCAACATTAACCAAACAATTAAAATATAAAGTAAAATTAATTACAAGATGATCCCAATAAAATCGGCTAAAAGGAAAGGAGGAATAGAGGGGCAAGGGGGAGCTGGAGGCCAAAAATTAATGAAAGTATTGAGCATCACACGGAAATTCAAGCAGATTGTTTGGGACGGGCTCTGAGCTTTGTTCAATTTACGTTTTAATTGCCTATGAATCCGTCTTTTCCAGAAAGTTCCTTGTGATATCCCTCTTCAGTCGGGACTCATGCCTCGCTTGCTGATAACCATTGTCGGAACGGTGAACTCAAGACCAAACAAGTAAAGGATGGAGGCGGCGGGGATGATGGTGGCATCGGTCCAAAGTTTTCTACATTTGTTGCAAGGGATTGTTTTATATATGCAGTTGGCCCTCCACGTTTGCGGCTTTGACTTTTGCGGATTTGATCGTTTGCGGATTCGATTAATATGTCCTCTCTAGGAATCTCTGGGTCCTCCTGCGCAACTCTGCTGGAAGTTGACCATAGAGTTGCTCCGGTGGATTTAGAGATTAATAATAATAATATGATTTATTTCTCACCCGCCTATTTCCAAAGGGAATCAAGGCGGGTTGCAAGCGTAAAAATGAAAGAACACAATAAGATTACAAGAGAAAACTAGAGGAAACACTTCTCTAGCCATTTTTAGGTCCTCCAGTGTGATCCCGTAGTCAACTTCTGGCAGATGTTGACCATAGAGTTGTGTTGGAGGACCTAGAAATTTCTAGACAGATGTTCTCTCAGTGGTCTTTTATTTGCAGTTTTTCCACCTTCACGGGGGTCCTGTGCCCCTAACCCCAGCAAATATGGAGGGGCCATTGTGTATATATATATATATATATTTTCATACATTTCACAAATTGGTAAATAGTTCCCTCTTCCTCACAACTGCTCAAGGCAGTTAACAGTCCTTAACATTAATTCAGATTACTAAAAATACTTAGATAGATCTAATACACTTGTCTCTCCATATCCATGGATTCTTTATCCATGGATTCAAGCATCCGGCACTTGAAAATATTCCAAAAATATGCAAATTCCCAAAATGACATCTTGTATAAGGGACACCATTTTACTGTGTCATTGTATTTAATAAGACTTGGGCATCCACAGATTTTGGTATCCACGGGGGGGGGGGGG